TGACCCCACAGGATTTTGGGTGTGACCCCAGGTTGACCCCACAGGTTTTGGGGTGTAACCCCGCAGGTTTTGAGGTGTAACCCCACAGGTTTTTGGGGTGTGACCCCACAGGTTTTGGGGTGTAACCCCACAGGTTTTGGGGTGTGACCCCACAGGTTTTTGGGTGTAACCCCGCAGGTTTTTGGGTGTGACCCGAGGTTGACCCCACAGGTTTTGGGGGGTGACCCCACAGGTTTTGGGGGGTGACCCCACAGGTTTTGGGGGGTGACCCCACAGGTTTTGGGGGGTGACCCCACAGGTTTTGGGGGGTGACCCCACAGGTTTTGGGGGGTGACCCCACAGGTTTTGGGGGGTGACCCCACAGGTTTTGGGGGGTGACCCCACAGGTTTTGGGGGGTGACCCCACAGGTTTTGGGGGGTGACCCCACAGGTTTTGGGGGGTGACCCCACAGGTTTTGGGGGGTGACCCCACAGGTTTTGGGGGGTGACCCCACAGGTTTTTGGGTGTGACCCCAGGTTGACCCCGCAGGTTTTTGGGGCAGCAGCGCTGGATCGGCCCCGGGAGCCGCTCGGAGCTGCCCCGGCTGCAGCACCTGCCCGTGGTGGGCATCGACCTGAGCGGGACCCCCGTCACCTACGGGGGGCTGGACAACCTGGGTGAGAGCCTGGCACCCCGAAACACCCTGAAACACCCCAAAAACACCTGAAAATACCCCAAAACACCTGAAAATACCTCAAAACACCTGAAAATACCCCAAAAACACCTGGAAATACCCCAAAACACCTGAAAATACCCCAAAAACACCTGGAAATACCCCAAAAACAACCGGAAACACCTGAAAATACTCCAAAACACCTGAAAATACCCCAAAAATACCCTGAAACACCCTGAAAATACCCCAAAACCCCCTGAAAATACCCCAAAACCACCTGTAAATACCCCAAAAACAACCTGAAACACCTGTAAATACCCCAAAACCACCTGTAAATACCCCAAAAATACCCCAAAACTCCCCTAAATACCCCAAAACCACCTGAAAATACCCCACAACACCTGAAAATACCCCAAAAACACCTGAAAATACCCCAAAACCAACCTGAAACAGCTGTAAATACCCCCAAAACAACCTGAAACACCTAGAAATACCCCAAAACACCCTGAAAATACCCCAAAATCACCCTGTAAATACCCTGAAACATCTGAAAATACCCCAAAAACACCCTGAAACACCTGGAAATACCCCAAAAACACCCTGAAAATACCCCAAAACACCCCAAAAATACCCTGAAAGACCCCAAAAACACCCTGAAACTCCTGAAAGTACCCCAAAACACCCTGAAAATACCCCCAAACACCCTGAAACACCTCAAAACACTTTGTCACACCTGTCCCGCAGTGTCCCTGTCCCAGCTGTCACACCTGGACCTCTTGGGTTGTCTCCACCTGTCACATCTGTCACACCTGTCCTACAGTGTCCCTGGCACACCTGGCACACCTGTGTCACCTGTCCTACAGTGTCCCTGTCCCAGCTGTCACACCTCTGTCACACCTGTGTCACACCTGTCCTGCATCCCACAGTGTCCCTGTCACACCTGTCCCACCTGTCCCACCTGTCCCTGTGTCCCCGCAGTGTCCCTGTCCCAGCTGTCACACCTGTGTCACACCTGTGTCACACCTGTCCTGACACCTGGTGTCCCTCACAGCTGTCACACCCATCACACCTGTCCCAACTGTCACACCTGTGTCACACCTGTCCTGTGTCCCACAGTGTCCCTGTCACACCTGTCACACCCGTCACACCTGTGACACCTGTCACGCAGTGTCCCTGTGACACCTGTCACACCTGTGAGACCTGTTCTGTCCCGCAGTGTCCCTGTCACACGTCACACCTGTCACACCTGTCACACCTGTCACACCTGTCACACCTGTCACACCTGTCACACCTGTCACACCTGTCACACCTGTCACACCTGTCACACCTGTCACACCTGTCACACCTGTCACACCTGTCACACCTGTCACACCTGTCACACCTGTCACACCTGTCACACCTGTCACACCTGTCACACCTGTCACACCTGTCACACCTGTCACACCTGTCACACCTGTCACACCTGTCACACCTGTCACACCTGTCACACCTGTCACACCTGTCACACCTGTCACACCTGTCACACCTGTCACACCTGTCACACCTGTCACACCTGTCACACCTGTCACACCTGTCACACCTGTCACACCTGTCACACCTGTCACACCTGTCACACCTGTCACACCTGTCACACCTGTCACACCTGTCACACCTGTCACACCTGTCACACCTGTCACACCTGTCACACCTGTCACACCTGTCACACCTGTCACACCTGTCACACCTGTCACACCTGTCACACCTGTCACACCTGTCACACCTGTCACACCTGTCACACCTGTCACACCTGTCACACCTGTCACACCTGTCACACCTGTCACACCTGTCACACCTGTCACACCTGTCACACCTGTCACACCTGTCACACCTGTCACACCTGTCACACCTGTCACACCTGTCACACCTGTCACACCTGTCACACCTGTCACACCTGTCACACCTGTCACACCTGTCACACCTGTCACACCTGTCACACCTGTCACACCTGTCACACCTGTCACACCTGTCACACCTGTCACACCTGTCACACCTGTCACACCTGTCACACCTGTCACACCTGTCACACCTGTCACACCTGTCACACCTGTCACACCTGTCACACCTGTCACACCTGTCACACCTGTCACACCTGTCACACCTGTCACACCTGTCACACCTGTCACACCTGTCACACCTGTCACACCTGTCACACCTGTCACACCTGTCACACCTGTCACACCTGTCACACCTGTCACACCTGTCACACCTGTCACACCTGTCACACCTGTCACACCTGTCACACCTGTCACACCTGTCACACCTGTCACACCTGTCACACCTGTCACACCTGTCACACCTGTCACACCTGTCACACCTGTCACACCTGTCACACCTGTCACACCTGTCACACCTGTCACACCTGTCACACCTGTCACACCTGTCACACCTGTCACACCTGTCACACCTGTCACACCTGTCACACCTGTCACACCTGTCACACCTGTCACACCTGTCACACCTGTCACACCTGTCACACCTGTCACACCTGTCACACCTGTCACACCTGTCACACCTGTCACACCTGTCACACCTGTCACACCTGTCACACCTGTCACACCTGTCACACCTGTCACACCTGTCACACCTGTCACACCTGTCACACCTGTCACACCTGTCACACCTGTCACACCTGTCACACCTGTCACACCTGTCACACCTGTCACACCTGTCACACCTGTCACACCTGTCACACCTGTCACACCTGTCACACCTGTCACACCTGTCACACCTGTCACACCTGTCACACCTGTCACACCTGTCACACCTGTCACACCTGTCACACCTGTCACACCTGTCACACCTGTCACACCTGTCACACCTGTCACACCTGTCACACCTGTCACACCTGTCACACCTGTCACACCTGTCACACCTGTCACACCTGTCACACCTGTCACACCTGTCACACCTGTCACACCTGTCACACCTGTCACACCTGTCACACCTGTCACACCTGTCACACCTGTCACACCTGTCACACCTGTCACACCTGTCACACCTGTCACACCTGTCACACCTGTCACACCTGTCACACCTGTCACACCTGTCACACCTGTCACACCTGTCACACCTGTCACACCTGTCACACCTGTCACACCTGTCACACCTGTTCTGTCCCGCAGTGTCCCTGTCACACCTGTCACACCTGGACCTCTCCGGTTGTCCCCACGTGTCCGACTGGCTCCTGGCCCGGCTCCACGTCTTCGAGGCCACCCTGCAGCACCTGGCGCTGGCCCGGTGTCCCCAGGTGAGCGAGCGGGGCCTGGCCACGCTGCACCACCTCAGGTGAGACACCTGTGTCACCTGTGTGTCACCTCAGTGTCACCTGTGTCACCTGTGTGTCACCCGTGTCATCTCTGTGTCACCTCAGTGTCACCTGAGTGTCACCCGTGTGTTCCCCAGTGTCCCCCAGTGTCACCTCAGTGTCACCCGTGTGTCACCCGTGTCACCCCAGTGTCACCCCTGTCACCCCAGTGTCAGCAGTGTCACCTCAGTGTCACCCCAGTGTCACCCGTGTGTCACCCCAGTGTCACATGAGTGTCCCCCAGTGTCACCCAGTGTCCCCGGGTGGCACCTGTGTCACCCAATGTCACCCCTGTGTGGCACCTGTGTCACCCAGTGTCCCCATGTGTCACCTGAGTGTCATCTCAGTGTCACCCAGTGTCACCTGAGTGTCCCCCAGTGTCACCTCAGTGTCACCCGTGTGTCACCCAGTGTCCCCCAGTGTCACCCCAGTGTCACCCCTGTCACCCCAGTGTCACCAGTGTCACCCCAGTGTCACCAGTGTCACCCGTGTGTCACCCAGTGTCACCTGAGTGTCACCTGAGTGTCCCCCAGTGTCACCCAGTGTCCCCGGGTGGCACCTGTGTCACCCAGTGTCACCCCTGTGTGGCACCTGTGTCACCTCAGTGTCACCCAGTGTCACCTGAGTGTCATCTCAGTGTCACCTGAGTGTCACCCAGTGTCACCTCTGTGTGGCACCTGTGTCACCTCAGTGTCACCTCAGTGTCACCTCAGTGTCACCTCAGTGTCACCTCAGTGTCACCTCAGTGTCACCTCAGTGTCACCTCAGTGTCACCTCAGTGTCACCTCAGTGTCACCTCAGTGTCACCTCAGTGTCACCAGTGTCTCCCTGTGTCACCAGTGTCACCCCTGTGTCACCCCTGTGTCACCTGAGTGTCCCTGAGTGTCCCCGGGTGTCACCCGAGCGTCCCTTGGGTGTCACCTGCGTGTTCCAGTTCCCCCAGTTCTCCCATTTCTCCCGGTGTCCCCCGGTGTCCCCCGGTGTCTTTCCGGTTGTTCCCTACAGGCAGTCACGGTGTCTCTCCGGTTGTTCCCTACAGGCAGTCACGGTGTCTCTCCGGTTGTTCCCTACAGGCAGTCACGGTGTTTCTCTCCGGTTGTTCCCTACAGGCAGTCACGGTGTCTCTCCGGTTGTTCCCTACAGGCAGTCACGGTGTCTCTCCGGTTGTTCCCTACAGGCAGTCACGGTGTCTCTCCGGTTGTTCCCTACAGGCAGTCACGGTGTCTCTCCGGTTGTTCCCTACAGGCAGCTGCGCTCTCTGGACCTGGCGGGGTTGGCGGTTCCGAGCCCGGCGCGGCTCCGGGCGCTGCTGGAGGCGGCGCTGCCGCACTGCCGGATCCTGGGCATGGAGTAACCCCGGGGATCCGCCGCACGGGATCCGCCGCACGGGATCCGCCGGGATCCACCCGGGATCTGGGCCAAAAAAAGAAACAACCCCCGATCCTCCTGGGATCCTCCGGGATCCTCCCGGATTTGGGATCCCCCCTGAACCAATCCCTGATTCTCCTGGGATCCTCCTGGGATTTGGGACCTTCCCGGGATCCTCCCAGATCTGGGATCCTCCCAGGATCAACCCCTGCTCCTCCCAAATCTGGGATCCCCCCGAACCAATCCCTGCTCGTCCTGGGATCCTCTGGGATCTGGGATCCCCCCCTGGATCAATCCCCGATCCTCCCAAATCTGGGATCCCCCCTGAACCAACCCCTGATCCTCCCGGGATCCTCCGGGATCTGGGATCCTCCCGGGATCCGGAGTTTTTGGGATCCCCCCTGAATAAATTCCTTCTTTTCCCACTGATTCGTTTCTATTTTTTTTATTTTTTTGTTGGGGTGTTCCCGTCATTCCCGGAGCCCTCAAATCCCGCGGGATCCTTCCCTAAAAAAAAAATCCCGGAATCCCAAAATCCCAAAATCCCCCAAAAAAATCCCAAAATCCCAAAAAAATCCCGAGGCTCTTTCACTTCCCAAATCTTATTTTATTGGGGGATCCGGGAATTCCGGGATCGCTTCCAGCTGCCCCGGGATCCCCGCGGGAATTTGGGGGGAAATTCGCTCGGGGAACCCCGGGGGGTGCCCGGGGAATCCCAGGGAATTCCCGGGAATTCCTGGATCGTGGCTGCTGGAGCGGGAAAGGCTCCCCCGGGGGGCGCTCCACGTGGATTTTGGGGCGGATTCCAGCGGGTTTGGGGTTTTCCCGGAATTCCCGGGGATTTCCCGGAACTCCCGCGGGTGCTGAGGGATTCCCGGGGATTTCCCGGAATTCCAGAGGGTGCTGAGGGATTCCCAGAATTCCAGAGGGTGCTGAGGGATTCCCGGAATTCCAGAGGGTGCTGAGGGATTCCCGGAGAATTCCCGGAATTCCAGAGGGTGCTGAGGGATTCCTGGGGGATTCCCGGAACTCCCGGGGATGCTGAGGGATTCCCGGAGAATTCCCGGAATTCTCAAGGGTGCTGAGGGATTCCCGGGGGTTTCCCGGAATTCCTGGGAATGCTGAGGGATTCCTGGAGAATTCCTGGAATTCCCAATGGTGCTGAGGGATTCCCGGGGGTTTCCCAGAAATCCTGGGGATTTCCTGGAATTCCTGGGAATGCTGAGGGATTCCCGGAGAATTCCTGGAATTCCCAAGGGTGCTGAGGGATTCCCGGAGAATTCCCGGAATTCCCAAGGGTGCGGAGGGATTCCCGGAGAATTCCCGGAATTCCAGAGGGTGCTGAGGGATTCCTGGGGGATTCCTGGGAATGCTGAGGGATTCCTGGGGGATTCCCGGGAATGCTGAGGGATTCCCAGGGGTTTCCCGGAATTCCTGGGGGTTTCCTGGAATTCCCGGGGGTGCTCAGGGATTCCCGAGGGATTCCTGGAATTCCCGAGGGTGCTGAGGGATTCCCGGGAATGCTGAGGGATTCCCGGGGGTTTCCCGGAATTCCCAAGGGATTCCCGGAATTCCCAGGGGTTTCCTGGAATTCCCGATGGTGCTGAGGGATTCCCGGGGGTTTCCCAGAATTCCCGGGGTGTTGAGGGATTCCCAAGGGTGCTCGGGGATTCCGGAGGGTGCTGATGGATTTCCGGGGGATTCCCGTGGGATTCCCGTGGGTTTTCCCATGGAATTCCCATGGGATTCCCGGGATTCCCGTGGGTTTCCCGTGGGTTTCCCGTGGGTTTCCCATGGAATTCCCGGAGATGCTCAGGGATTTCCGAGGGCGCTGAGGGATTCCTGTGATTTCCCAGGGGATTCCTGGGATTCCCGTGGGTTTCCCATGGAATTTCCAGGGGATTCCCGGGATTTCCCAGGGGTTTCCTGGGATTCCCGTGGAATTCCTGTGGGATTCCCGGGATTCCCATGGGTTTCCCGTGGAATTCCCGTGGTTTTCCGTGGAATTCCCATGGGATTCCCGGGATTCCCGTGGGTTTCCCATGGAATTCCCGTGGTTTTCCCGGGATTCCCGGAGATGCTCAGGGATTCCCGGGGATGCTGAGGGATTCCCGTGATTTCCCAGGGGATTCCCGTGGGTTTCCTGTGGGTTTCCCGTGGAATTCCCGTGGTTTTCCCGGGATTCCCGGAGATGCTCAGGGATTCCCGTGATTTCCCAGGGGATTCCTGTGGGTTTCCCGTGGGTTTCCCGTGGTTTTTCCGGGATTCCCGGAGGTGCTGAGGGATTCCCGTGGGATTCCCGTGGTCCTCCCGGAATTCCCGTGGGTTTCCCGTGGCATTCCCTTGGGATTCCCGTGGGTTTCCCGTGGAATTCCCGTGGTTTTCCCATGGAATTCCCGCGGGATTCCCGGGATTCCCGGCTCACTTCTGGAAGTTCTGGAGCGGGTAGTGCTCCCCGTAGGTCTCCAGGTGCCGCTGCAGCTCCTCCCGCTGCCGCCGCAGCCGCGGGGGCATCTCCCGGTAAACGTCGGAGAAGAGCAGGTGAGGAGGCGGCTTCGGCTCCCGCTCCGCCTGCTCGAACGCCTCCAGCACCTGCGGGAATGCCGGACACGATTCCAGCTTTTCCAGGCTGAAATTCCAGCTTTTCCAGCCCCAAATTCCTGCCTTTTCCAGCCCCCAATTCCTGCCTTTTCCACCCTGAAATTCCGGCTTTTCCAGCCCCAAATTCCGGCTTTTTCAGCCCCAAATTCCGGCTTTTTCAGCCCCAAATTCCGGCTTTTCCAGCCCCAAATTCCTGCCTTTTCCGGCCTGAAATTCTGGCTTTTCCAGCCCCCAATTCCTGCCTTTTCCAGCCTGAAATTCCGGCTTTTCCAGACCCGAAATTCCTGCCTTTTCCAGCCTGAAATTCCGCCTTTTCCAGCTCGAAATTCCGGCTTTTCCAGCCCCAAATTCCGGCTTTTACAACCCAAAATTCCGGTTTTTCTGGGCCCCAAATTTCAGCTTTTACAACCCAAAATTCCTGCCTTTTCCAGCCTGAAATTCCAGTTTTTTAAGCCCCGAATTCCGGCTTTTTCAGCCCCAAATTCCAGCTTTTCCAGCCCGGAATTCCGGCTTTTCCAGACCCAAAATTCCTGCCTTTTCCAGCTCGAAATTCCGGCTTTTCCAGCCTGAAATTCCGGCTTTTTCAGCCCGGAATTCCGGATTCTCCTGTCCCCAATTCCGGCTTTTCCAGCCCCAATTCCAGCTTTTCCAGCCTTTTCCAGCCCCAATTTACAGCTTTTCCCAGACCAAAATTCCTGCCTTTTCCAGCCTGAAATTCCGGCTTTTTCAGCCCCCAATTCCGGATTCTCCTGTCCCCGGTTCCAGCTTTTCCAGCCCCAATTCCTGCCTTTTCCAGCCCCAATTCCGGCTTTTCCAGCCCCCAATTCCGGCTTTTCCGGCCTTTTCCAGCTCCAAATTCCGGCTTTTCCAGCCCCATAATTCCTGCTTTTTCCAGCCTGAAATTCCTGCCTTTTCCAGCCCCAAATTCCGGCTTTTACAACCCAAAATTCCGGCTTTTCTGGGCCCCAAATTCCGGCTTTTCCAGCCTTTTCCAGCCCCAATTTCAGCTTTTTCAGCCCCAAATTCCGGCTTTTCCAGCCCTAATTCCAGCTTTTTCAGCCTGAAATTCCAGCTTTTCCAGGCCCAAATTCCAGCTTTTCCAGCCCCAATTCCAGCTTTTTCAGCCTGAAATTCCAGCTTTTCCAGGCCCAAATTCCGGCTTTTCCAGCCCCAATTCCAGCTTTTTCAGCCTGAAATTCCAGCTTTTTCAGCCCCAAATTCCGGCTTTTCCAGCCCCAATTCCAGCTTTTTCAGCCTGAAATTCCAGCTTTTCCAGCCTTTCCCAGCCCGAAATTCCCTGGGTGTTTCCCACCCCAAAATCCCGAATATTTCCCAGCCCAAATCCCGAATATTCCAAACCCCAAACCCCAAATATTTCAAACCCTGAACATTTCCCACCCCAAACCCCAAATCCCAAATATTTCCCACCCCAAATCCCGAATATTTCCCAGCCCAAATCCCAAATATTTCACCCCTCAAACCCCAAATATTTCCCAATCCCTGAACATTTCCCACCCCAAACCCCGGCTGTTCCCCCCCCCAAATCCCGAGTATTTCCCACCCCAATCCCTGAACATTTCCCACCCCAATTCCCGTTTTTTCCCACCTTGAGTATTTCCCACCCCAAACCCCAAATATTTCCCAAACCCCGAATATTTCCCACCCCAATTCCCATTTTTTCCCTCCCAAATCCCGTTTTTCCCCCCCCAAATCCCAAATATTCCAAACCCCAATCCCTGAACATTTCCCACCCAAACCCCGGTTGTTCCCAACCCAATTCCCGTTTTTTCCCACCCCAAATCCCATTTTATCCCAATCCCTGAACATTTCCCACCCCAATTCCCATTTTTTCCCACCCCAAACCCCATTTTTTCCCACCCCAAACCCCATTTTTTCCCACCCCAAATCCCAGTTGTTCCCCACCCTAAATCCCGTTTTTTCCCACCCCAATCCCCGTTTTTTCCCACCCCAAACCCCGGTTTTTTCCCACCCCAAATCCCTGAACATTTCCCACCTCAAATCCCTGTTTTTTCCCACCCCAAATCCCGTTTTTTCCCACCCAAATTCCCCTTTTTTCCCACCCAAATTCCCAATTTTTCCCAAACCCTGAACATTTCCCACCCAAATTCCCGTTTTTCCCCACCCCAAACCCCGCTTGTTCCCCACCCTAAATCCCATTTTTCCCCACCCCAAATCCCCGTTTTTTCCCGGGAATCCCGCTGGGAATGACCATTTTCCGGGAGCTCTTCCTCCAGGCCTTCTCCTCCTCCTCGTCCCACCAGCCCCTGCGGGCCATGTAGTGCCGGAGCCGGGAGATGGGATGATCCTGCTTGTCCCAGTAATTCACCTCGTCCACCGAGCGGTACGCCGAGCTGTCGTCACTCGTGCTGTGGTGCCCGATCCTGGGGGAAAAACACCGGGAATGGGGAGAATCCAGGGAAAATCCATGGGAGATTCGTGGGAAATGGGGAAAAGTGGGAGGAAATCCATGGGAAATGGGGAAAAACCCATGGGAAACCTGCTGGAAATGGGGAAAACGGGAGAAAAATCCATGGGAAAAGGGGAATTGGTGGGAAATCCATCAGAGATCCGTGGGAAATGGGGAAAAATCCACGGGAAATGGGGAAAAATCCATGGGAAATGGGGAAAAATCCATGGGAAATGGAGAAAAATCCATGGGAAATGGGGAAAAATCCATGGGAAATGGGGAAAAATCCATGGGAAATGGAGAATTGGTGGGAAATCCATCAGAGATCCGTGGGAAATGGGGAAAAATCCACGGGAAATGGGGAAAAATCCATGGGAAATGGGGAAAAATCCATGGGAAATGGAGAAAAATCCATGGGAAATGGGGAAAAATCCATGGGAAATGGGGAAAAATCCATGGGAAATGGGGAAAAATCCACGGGAAGTGGAATTGGTGAGAAGTCTGTGGGAAATTGAGGGAAAATGGGAGAAAAATCCATCGGAAACCTGTAAAAATCCAGGGGAAATGGGGAAAAATCCATGGGAAATGGGGAAAAATCCATGGGAAATGGAGAAAAATCCATGGGAAATGGGGAAAAATCCATGGGAAATGGGGAAAAATCCACGGGAAATGGAATTGGTGAGAAGTCTGTGGGAAATTGAGGGAAAATGGGAGAAAAATCCATCGGAAACCTGTGGGAAATGGGAAAAAGTGGGAGCAATTCCATGGGAAATGGGGAAAAATCCATGGGAAATGGAGAAAAATCCATGGGAAATGGGGAAAAATCCATGGGAAATGGGGAAAAATCCATGGGAAATGGAGAATTGGTGGGAAATCCATCAGAGATTCGTGGGAAATGGGGAAAAATCCACGGGAAATGGGGAAAAATCCATGGGAAAAGGGGAAAAATCCATGAGAAACCTGCTGGAAACGGGGAAAACGGGAGAAAAACCCATGGGAAAAGGGGAAAAATTGGTGAAAAAGCCAACAAGAAACGGGGAAAAACCGGCAAAAAAAGAGAAGAAAAATCCAGGCGAAATCCGCGAGAAACGGGAATTTCTCCTGGATTCCCGCGAGGACGAGGAAAAGGAGCCGGGAAAGGGGGGGGAAAAGGGGTGGGAGAAGGTCGGGAATGGGGGTTGGTTTTTTTTGGGAATGCTGACCGGTAGGTCATGGCCTCGATGAGGAAGGGCTGGTTCTCGGCCACGGCGCGGCGCCGCGCCTCCCGCGTGGCGTTGTACACCGCGAAAACGTCGTTGCCGTCCACGCGGATCGACAGCAGCCCGTAACCGGGACCCCGCGCCGCTGCCGGGAGAACACCGTGGGATCCCCGAAACCCCCCCGAAACCCCCCGAAATTCCCCTGAACACCTCCTAAACACCCCGAAACCCCCCCAAACCCCCCCAAAACCCCCCGAAATTCCCCTGAACACCTCCTAAACACCCCGAAACCCCCCCAAACCCCCCCAAAACCCCCCGAAATTCCCCTGAACACCTCCTAAACACCCCGAAACCCCCCCAAACCCCCCCAAAACCCCCCGAAATTCCCCTGAACACCTCCTAAACACCCCGAAACCCCCCCAAACCCCCCCAAAACCCCCCGAAATTCCCCTGAAC